GAGGACTTGGGTGAAAACAGGGAGGGGGGCAGCAGGTTATCCAGGACCACATCAAGGCCAAGGTATCTCACCACTGGTGTCTCTGAATACTAGTTGCTGAGGGTCACAGTTGGGGGCTGCTGTTGCTGCGCTTGCATCCTGCTTGAGGCTGTGGTCTAAACCACTGAGCCTCTTGGGCTTGCCGATCAGAAGGTCAGCAGTTCAAATCTGAGCTCCCGTTGCTCTGTCCCAGCTTCTGCCAACTTGGCAGTTCGAAAGCACACCAGTGCAAGTAGATAAATAGGTACTGCTGTGGTGGGAAGGTAAACGGCGTTTCCGTGCATTCTGGTTTCCATCAAAGTGTCCCGTTGCACCAGAAGTGGTTTAGTGCTGCTGGCCACATGACCCAGAAAGCTGTCTGTGGACAAACAGTGGCTCCCTCGGCCTGAAAGTGAGATGAGTGCCACAACCCCATAGTCGCCTTTGACTGGACTTATCTGTCCAGGGGTCCTTTAAAAAGGTAAAGGTAAAGGTACCCCTGCCCATACGGGCCAGTCTTGACAGACTCTAGGGTTGTGCGCCCATCTCACTCAAGAGGCCGGGGGCCAGCGCTGTCCGGAGACACTTCCGGGTCACGTGGCCAGCGTGACATCGCTGCTCTGGCGAGCCAGAGCCGCACACGGAAACGCCATTTACCTTCCCACTAGTAAGCGGTCCCTATTTATCTACTTGCACCCGGGAGTGCTTTCGAACTGCTAGGTTGGCAGGCGCTGGGACCGAACAACGGGAGCGCACCCCGCCGCGGGGATTCGAACCGCCGACCTTTCAATTGGCAAGCCCTAGGCGCTGAGGCTTTTACCCACAGCGCCACCCGCGTCCCTGTCCAGGGGTCCTTTACCTTTACCTTAATAGGGACGTGGGTGGCGCTGTGGTCTAAAGCACTGAACCTCTTGGGCTTGATGTTCAGAAGGTCAGTGATTCGAATCCCCACGACAGTGGTGAGCTCCCATTACTCTCTCCCAGCTCCTGCCAACCTAGCAGTTCGAAAGCACGCCAGTGCAAGTAGATAAATAGGAACCACTGCGATGGGAAGGTAAATGGCTGGTTTCTGTCACGGTGTCCTGTTGCACCAGAAGCAGTTTAGTCCTGCTGGCCACATGACCCGGAAGGCTGTCTGTGGACAAATGCCACCTCCCTCGCAACCCCATAGTCACCTTTGACTGCACCTAACCATTCGGGGGCCTTTACCGTACCTTTTCACTTGAGGGCTTTGGAAGTTTGGGTGTCCATCTGTCAGGGCTGCGATTCCTGCCTTGCAGGGGGTTGGACTAGATTGCCCTTGGGGGTCCCTTCCAACTCTACAGTTCTATGATTCTACGGGTGTTCTAAGCTTGGTGGCGCATCTGAAGCCCTGGATGCCAATGTTGGTGGGTGTGGAGACTAGCTGAGCATGGGAACAGGGAGGGACCAGGCGTGGGTTTTTCAATGGCCAGGATGCGGCTCTGCTGAGGTGTTTCCTAGTCCAGGAGAGAGCACCACCAAAGCACCAGCCTTTGGCTGACCTCCCTTCCCTCCTGGCCTCAGCCACTGGAATTTGATTTCCGAAAAAGAGCTTGTGGTTCTTTGCCTCAAAGCTTCCAGGAGCAGCTCAGCTCTTCCACCCCAAGTGGGTTGGAGTCAACGGGTTAGCCTGTGGAACTCCCTCCCACAGGAGACAGTGACGGCCCTCAACTTGGATGGCTTTAAAAGAGGATTAGACATGTTTATGAAGGGGGGGGGTGTCAGCATAACGGCTATGCTCAGCCTCCAGAGGATTCTGAAAGCCTGGAAACCACAGGAGGGGGAAAGTGATGCCCTTGTGCCCAGATCCTGCTGAAGGGGCACCTGGTTGGCCACTGTGAGAAGAGGATGCTGAGCTAGGTGGGCCATGGGCCTGATCCACCAGAGCAACGCTTTTCTTCTGTTCTTCAGCTCTCTGTGGGCAGGGTGGGGTTTGGGAGCAGAGCACACTCTGCATGCGTGCAGAGAACCTCTCGGAGGGCGAAGCCTTGGCACCGAACCCGGGGCTTCTGGCGCCTTGGCTCCTTTTATCCCTGCCTTCCGTGTCTGCCTGCAACAGAGGCCTTCCGGGAATGTGGAGGTCTGGTGTGGGGCTTGCTCTGGGTCTGCTGCTGTGGCCTGGACTGAAACCAGTGTGGGGCAGGGGGGGTCTTCCCAGTGCCTCTTGCAACCAGTCTCTCTCTCTCTCTCTCTCTCTGCTGCAGGAACTGGTGTGCTTACGTGGTCTCTCGCAGTGTGAGCTGCGTCGTGGAGGATGGCATGGACACCTACGTCAAGCCAGATTACCAGCCGTGCGCCTGGGGGCAGCTCCAGTGCCCCCGCGTCATCACGTGAGTGTGGGGAGAATTGGAGGGGGGCACGCAGGGCTGCTGGTGGGCTGTGCTGCTGCTGGCTGCCTGGGTGGGGCACTGCGGGGTCACGGCCTCCGTGGGCAGATGGGGTGGAGTGGCGGATGCCTGTGGCTGCTGCCTGGCGCGTGCCCAGCCCATCAAGGGAAGAGGCTGCCCAGCGGGAGCCAGGGAGGGGGTTGCCTGCCCCCTGGTGGGCATCTTCAGGACTGCAGACCCACTCACCGCTCCTTCAACAGCCCAGGAGAGGCAGGTGCGTCTGCCAGTCAGTGCCTGCAGAGGGAGTCTCTGGCCTTCTCCTCTGCTGTGCTGATTTGGAGTACAGAGTGTCCAGCCCTCCAGTGTAGTGTTCCCAAAGCAAGGAAGGATTGGACTCTGATTAATAAAATACGCACGAGACTTAACCAGTAAGACTCTGGGAGGGGTGTGTATAATAATTCCCTCTCCACCCCTCAGCCCCAGGTCGTTTTATTCATAAAAGAACTTTTTACACAGTGTTAGTAAGAACCAATCAGATTTCCTCTGAGCATTTCAAAAAACCCCACGTGGGACAAAGTCAGATCAGAAGAAATCCTGTTAACTGTAAAGACTACTCTGAGCATGCAGGCATATCGGAGAGTAAATAAAACAGGACTAGAGGAGGAATGCATTCAGCAAAACCCCGGAGGTCATAAACAGGCAGGAAAGGAAGGAAGAATGGCAAGGAAAGAGGATTTCCTTGTGAACTCTCTTCCTGGCCCTTAAGGTCTACCTGAAGATTAAACTACATCAAAGCTAACTATCATTTTTATGACCCAGGATGCCTGATGAACAACTGGCCTGTGTATTTAAAATGCTGATTACGTGCCTGTCAGTCGTAGAACTAGAAAGGGATGCAGAGGCATGGATTGATCAGAAATTATTGTCAATGAATCAAACCAGGCAACGCTATGCTTTCATTGCTGGCACAAATGGCTTGCTTCGTATTTTTTATAATTCCTCATAGCAAATCCCTCCTGATCCACTACACTCCAGTCACCTTCTCAATGGGGCCAGCACTACAGAGACTCTTCCTCTTGTAACTGGCATGGCTACTGGGAGGAAAGCTCTGATCCTAAACCTCCACTGCCTTGTGAGATTCTTTGGGAGGAGAAAAGGCCAGGAGGAAACCCCACAGGAATCCAGGGTGGAGTCCCTGAGGGCAGCTGGAGTTGTCTTGTAAGCCTCTTTCCAGCAACTCCTGCAGCAAGCCCAGCCTCTTGCTCTGGTCTCCTCTGGCCCCCATCAGTGAGGCTGAGAGGGGGGGGTCTTGTCGTTTGGGCAGCCCCAGGACCCCCAGACACAATGCCCAGGCTTGCATCCTAGTGCTTCCAATGCAGCGATTTTACTTGACCCCCCAGAGGTATACTCCCATTGTCTCTCATGACAGATGGAAGGGCCCACTTAGGGACCAGACCAAAAAGCTATTTTTTCAAAAGAGTGGAAAGTTGACACATGTGAACATGAAGTGAACATGTGTGAGGGGCGACCAAGGTAGTTGTTGAGCTTTTTTTAGGATTAAAGTTTGTTTTTTAGGATTTCACCCCAGGACATATACTGCCACGGGGCCTGGATTAAATTTGACTGACGGGCCAGAATAGGCCCCAAAAAGGAGTTTGGATATGCCTTGAGTAATAGAACTGTAGAACTGGAAGGTGTGGAAAATGTTGTGGATAGTAGGAGAGGATATATTGAATTTAATATCATCCTTTCCACTTATGCTAGTGAGCTGGTAGCAGAGTACATTCCCTGTACATTGCAGGAAAGCTAGTTGGTAGATTCGTCAGAATCTCTTGCGTTAAGTAATCCAGTCTGGCTTGTCCAGGTTGGATTGTTCCTGGTAAATTCCCCTTTTATTCGCTCTTAAAAAGAATAAAGACACAAACAGTCTTCTCTTAAAGTAACAAGAAGTTTACTTACATCCAGTTCAGAGTGTGATCCTGAAGGCAGGCTTTAGCTTGTGTTACAGAAGAGAGGATTGAGCCCACGTACTGCTGGCTGAGGGCCAGCAGACAGCAAAAGACCATCAGTGACAGCAATCAAGACCGGCCTTTTATGGGGGTCTCCCAGGGACACGCCCACCTACCTGGTCACACGCAGGGGGAGGGATGCTCCAGACCAGGTGGGACAGGAAGTCCTCCTGGCTGGAGCAACATCCCCCTGTGTGTCCACTTTGGACAAACAGGAATGTTGTACTTGACTGCTTTCTGTTGATGTACATCCCACAGAAGGGACCCCCAAAGGTCATGTAGCCTAACCCCCTGCAAAGCAGGACCACTCAAGCTCTGCTTTTAAACCTCCAATGCTTTCTAGAATTGTAGAGTTGGAAGGGAATCACAGCTGAAGAATCCCTAACTGGCAGCTATCTGAAACACCCAGGGCGCCCCTTGCCCAGTCGCAGTCCCAGTCCCAGTCCAGATACCAGTGCTTTTCTTTCTCCCAACCAGCAGGTATCGAAGCTTCGTTCGCCCTCGCTACAAGGTGGCCTACAAGACTGGTCTCGGACATGGAGTGGCGCTGCTGCCCCGGCTACTCGGGGTACCGAATTGCGCCGAAGGTGGGGTGCCGCCCCACCACCCCCGCCACGGACCTCAGCCGTCCGCCCCAACCTCTCCGGCTTCAGCAACACACTCAGCGGTCTTGGTGGAGAAGGTACCCCGGGCAGGATCCAGGGGGAAAGATGCTGCTGCCACCCCAACCCAGGAGGATGAGGCGGGGGGCTGGACCCAACACTGGGCAGAACCCTCAACTCTCCCCCACCACTGCAGGCCAAGTCACCAATGTCACAATGCCAACCCCCGGTGGCATGAGATGTACTGGGTCAAGGAAAAATGGATATACCGTATTTTTTCGTCCCATAGGACGCTCCGTCCATAGGACGCACCTAGTTTTTTGGGGGGGAAATAAAGGAAAAAATTTTCCCTTTATTTCCCCCCCAAAAGCAGGTCGGGGAAACCGAACCAGGTCGGGGAACAGCGGGATGGCGGCACTGCGCTCCCCGCTATCCCCCGAGCTTGTGGGGCTGGCCAATGTCTGCCTGGCGCGAGGGGCGCCCTGCTTCAGGGCGCCCCGCTGCCGGGCGGCAGGCTGCTATCCGCAGCATGGGAAGCCCTGTGGGGAACTCCTGCAGGGCTCCCCACGCTGCGGATGTCTGTCGGCGGGCGGGCACTCTGCTTCAGGGCGCCCTGCCCGCCGGGCGGCAGGCTGCTATCTGCAGCATGGGGAGTCCTGCGGGAACTCCTGCAGGGCTCCCCACGCTGCGGAAGTATTGCCTGGCGCGAGGGCACTCTGCTTCAGGGCGCCCCGCCCGCCGGGCTGCAGGCTGCTATCCGCAGCCTAGACATCCCTGCGGGACCTCCCGCAGAGGCTGCCTAGGCTGCGGATGTGTTCCCGAAGCGCCGGGCGCTCTGCTTTCAGGGCGCCCGACTCCGGGAAGCAGGCTGCTATCCGCAGCCTAGACAGCCCTGCGGAACTCCGCAGGGCTGCCTAGGCGGCGGATGTCTTCCTGAAGCCTGGGAGAGTGAGAGGGGTCGGTGCGCACCGACCCCTCTCGCTCTCCAAGCTTCAGCGAAAGCCTGCATTCGCCCCATAGGACGCACCCAGATTTCCCCTTCATTTTGGAGGGGAAAAAGTGCGTCCTATAGGGCGAAAAATACGGTATACATATAAAAGAATTCCTGGATGCAGAGCTCTAGTTTGGGGCAAGTACTCTTTGGTGAGAGAACCCCACCTCTTAGACCTTTAAAATATGCCTTTAATGTGAGTTCCAAAGTTTCCCTCTCCCCCCAGCAAGGGAAAAAGACCCCACACTTGTTAAGTTAAAAATGGCCAGGTCCATGTGCTTCAGAGAAGCTGCACAGGCAGTAAAAACCAGCTGTTAGAAACTGGTGAAAGTTCCTAAATGACTGGCATAGGAACTCAAGAGTGGCTTGTGAGAGCCATGCGGTCTGAGCTGGAGCAACCAACTCAAACCTCTTCACAAGCAGACTGGCAGAACAATAGGTTTGATTAGCCATAAGCCTGGCAGGACACCTTATGGTATTAAACACCTTCATGCCTTAATTAGACTTAAACATGTTGGTTATGTGAGGTGACCAACTCTTGGGAGATTTAAGCTCATAACCTCAGCCTTGGAGGTTAGCTTTGAAAGAGGCATTTAGTAAATTCGGTCTGTGGAGCTGAGCCCAATTTTGTCTCTATTATCCTGATCCAGGTGTTTCCATTCCTGCACATTCTCAAAGCATCTTTGCAAGACCTTAGCTGGGAGCTCACCAGCAGCTCAGGATCAGCACAGTGTAGCTCCGTTCCCTTGCATAGAGGGTCTGATTCCCTGCTGGGTGGAGCAGCTGCTTTGCCAGGTGACAGACCTGAGTGGAGGTGTCCTGATGTGGCTCTCTTCTCTCTCTCTCTCCTCTCCCAGGGCACAGGGACTCCGAGAAGGTCCGGCAGCTGGAAGAGAAAGTCCAACACCTGAGCAAACAGCTGCAGGACCTGCAGTCCACCATGGAGACCAGCAACACCAAACTGGCCGAGGACGTCCGCAGGGCCGTCGAGTCCTCCTTGAACGGCAAGCAGCCGGCGGACGCAGCCGCCCACCCGGAAATGAAGGAGACCCTCAACGAGATCCAGCGCCACCTGCAGCGCCTGGACAACCGCATCTCCAACACGAGAACGGGCAGGGGGTGGCCCAGGGAGGCGGACAGACGTCCACGGCGAGGTCCTGCGGGAGGTGGAGCGCACCATCCACGAAACCTGCTCCTCCTGCGTGACGGGCGTCTTTGACCTGCGGCAGCAGCGGGAGGAAGACCAGACCGCATGCGTGCTCTGGAGAAGCTGGTGGCCTCCGTGGACCAGCGCAACCGGGATGCTGTGGACACTGTCCGGCAGCACGTCAGCCGCCTGGCCTCC